GCATGTTTGAATTGGTGAGTTTTGAGTTGAATTCATGGTAAAATTGTACATGCATGTTCATAATTTTGTAATGGTCCATGTTTTCAACCTGTTTTTGGACCAATTGGCTCCTTAGAGCATCAAATTGAAGCTTTGAAATGATTTGAATTCGTGCATGTTTGCATGTTCATATTGTTCTTGAAAAATGGTATGAAATTGGGTTTGAATAAAACACCCTTGGGCTTTGATTTCTCAAATTGAGTTTTGAATCATGTTACTCCATGTGTTTATAAGAGTTTTCCAGAAAATTCAGCCCAAGAGGTCGAGTTTTGAGTTGCTAGAACTTGGTTTGAGCTTGGAGGTGCAATCTGGAATTTCCAGATTTTGCACTTCCGCTCGAGCGTGGAATCCGAGCATCCAGTATCTCTGCCCTGTTTTACAGACCACTCGAGCGGAGGATTGGGCGCTCGAGCAGAGTCATGCATCTCAAGCTCGAGCGGGCGTCGAGCGTCCGTCGAGCGGAGATTCCACCCATCCAGCACTTTTGACTATTTTTGCAGAACGCTCGAGTGGGTGATTATACGCTCGAGCGGGTATCCTTGTCTGCATGTCCGCTCGAGCGGAGTTATCTACGCTCGAGCGTGAACCCTGTTTTTTGAAAAATCTGAAAATGCTTTTAAAAGTACATCTTTGCATCCTCATCCCATTCTAGGCATTCTTAGACCTAGTTTTAGGCATCTTGTTGAGGATATAGATGTAGAACACACCGAGGCACATTAGGGATTAAGTTATGTTATTTCCCAACTGTGTAGCTTAGTGTGTGTTCAACCTGTGAACTGTGTAGGGTTGGCGACTGGGGAGACGCGCTCTAGCATACTGTAGCCCAAACTCTGTGAGTAACGATTGTGTAAAGATATGTTCACAAATGAATATCTTCTGAATACTGAACTGAACTGTTTACTAAACTGATATTATTTACTGAATGAATGTATGTCCTATATTCTAAACTGTACTGTGGCATCCTTGGCATCTACTGTTACTGTTACTGTTACTGTTACAGAGATCTCTGTCGGTTCCCTCGTGGAACCACTACTGTTTACTGATTGATGGCCATCATTACTGTTCGGTCTTTAAGACCTACTGTTTACTGCTATGCTAATGGATGTACCACATATGACTGAATAACTGTTTTGACTGAATGACGGAAATACTGTTTAAATGAACTGTTTTCGTACTGTAAGGACATTCATTCTTAACCTCTTTACGCATTATGTTATTCACTGGGCTTTAGCTCACTGCTCATATATATATGTAGGTGTTCAGGCACCAGACTGTGGCTAGGAGCGTCAGGGTTACTCCAGTTTTGTCAAGCCAGCCTATGTGCCTTACTGCGAGGTTCCGAGCCTATTTGCTAAGGCTTAGGGGTGTTTTAGGAATTCCCCTTTTGTACTGTCTTACTGTTTGTATTAATTGAATGGATTGTATAGACTGAATGTTTACTGTACCGTTACATAGGGATTGAGTCCCTATTCTGAATGATTGTATATATTGTGTACACTGTTCTGTACTGATTATGTATATGTATGAAAAATCTTTTTGGCATACAGACTGTCACAGCTCAATGGACATTATTTATTTACTGTTTTGGCTTCCGCCAGGCCCTGTACTCTGTTTTACTATACTACTGTTCTGCAGGCCTTCGGTAATCTCGGATTACTGGCCGGTTACGGTGCTAAATCCATAGGGCCGGGTTTGGGTCGTGACACTCAAAGCTCTCAATCAGTCCGATTTGAAGATTAATTTTGTGAGTCCTCTGATTTTTTCATTTTGTTTATATACAAACTTAGATCTACGATCTCAAATCTGTTTGATATATATATATATAATAATTTATGTCTATTGATTGTGATCAATTTTTATTCTATTGATCGATCTTTAGGCAAATCTCGATTGATTGATTTTTAATTTATTGATTGCGATCGAACACTCTTCTCTGGATTTGATCGGTTGATTGCTTTCGTTCAGATCTGTAATTTTGAGTCCCTATGTGCATATTAACATCCTCAAATCGACTCTATTTCTGACTCGTTCGTGGTGATCTTTGCGTTTGTGCTTTGTATGCAATTCTAGGGTTAGTCTATTGAGGCTAATCTCTATTGCGTTTGTGTACAGAGTCACAGAACTACCATCACAACCATACTGTGTCAATCTTTGCAGCAGCAATGTCTCTCTTCCTCACAATGGGTTTTGTGCACTACAGACACCTGATTTCCACTCTGGTGAGTCTTCTTTGATTCCCTCCTTCCTTACTTTGCTTATGATCTGTCTGGCCCTGTCGTTTGTGCATTTGGGTTTTTCTGCTACTTTCCATAAATTTTAATGTCTTCAAAAGCCATGTATTTGTGTGTTTGTTTATATGTGCATCAAAATTTTATTGGATTTTATCTGATGGACCCGCAGAGTATTTAGAGTGACCAAAATTTGAGTTTATGTTCTGCAGCTCCAATAAGAAATAGGTGGAAAAGCTTGGAAGAGGTAGAAAGATAAGCTAAAATTTGAGTTTGTGATAGGCCAAAATTATTGACAAAATTATTGTTAAGATGATGGGTAGAAAGATTTACTTATCCTGTTTGCAGTAGTTATATAAATAGAATCAGACGATGGTTTGAGTTGGGACCAATTTAAAATTCAGTCTATCTATTGGTTAATTTGGGTATTGACTTAAATTTGATTTTTTCCAGCAATGACCTCTCCGGAGGTGACGTATAAGTGTCGGATACGGACACACTCCAAACACGTGTCAGACATGCTGAGAACACACTGGGACACACTGAGGACCATTTAAAAAAAAATAATTAAAAATGAACTTGTGTTTACTATAATAGTATACCTAAGGTTGATAAATTTCGTAAAATTAAATATTTGACTTAAAATAATTATTAAATATTTAAAAATATGACACATAATAAATATATAAAATCATATCTTTCGCACATGTCTCTAACGCGTCGTGTCCTAAATTTTTTGAAATTTGCGTGTCCTTATCTGTGTTGTGTCACGTGTCCGTGTTTGTGTTTCTTAGTAGGCATACATGCAGTAGAATTAAGAAGCATCGGTCAACAAAAGTGAGAGAATGCAGAACAAATATATGAGATATGTTTTTGATCTTAATGCATGACCTATTAATGAGAAAAACTTTCTACAAAAGAAATGAATAACCACTCTCAGTGTTAACAATGATATTGCTTTATTCAGTTATGTTTTCGATATTTGTTTTTACTTGGAATTTTCTGATGGCTATCATGGAAGTTCCTTTCTTTAAGGTCATTGATCATGTTTTTACTTGATCTCCTTTAAATGTCTGTATGGTTTTAAGTAATGCTTCATGCCTTCAATAACATGCATCTGTAAATGCTATTTTTTTTTATTATTGTCTTTGAAGATACATTAACATCTCATTTGACATTCATTCTCCTGATGGAACTTGAGTGATGAGAAAAAAAGAAAAAAAAAAAACTAAAAATGAATTTATGCAAACTATTAAAAGGTAGTTGTTTATACTCAAGGCAGCTATTTTATATATTCGTTTATTCACCTCATCTCGCAGTAAACTCATTGTCCTTTTTTTTAATGTTTTTCCATTTCTTTAACAGGTGCACAATCATGTGTTGGAAGACGGCGATGAAAGGTAATGGGTTATGCATTTATTACTCAAAATTTATAGGCAGTTATATCATTTGAAAATACGAGAATTGAGATTTAGAAATTGTATTCAATGTCCCTCTGCCCTTTTCCTCAATAGTTATATTATTTTTAGTATTTGAGTCGACCAATCATCGAATGAACAAACTATAGAATTTGAAATACACGTAAAAAACTCGAACATACTAAACTTAGCAAAGGTTTTGTCACTGAGTTAAGTATAAGAACCTGATACACACATTTGTATGCTATGAGGATTATAATTCAGAAATGTTGAGAACGCTTTTGTACCAGAATTTAAATATGCTAATTGATTGTCTATGAGTGTGGAAGATTTTGTTTTATACTTTTCTAGCTGGGAAAAAAAAAAGTTTGTTTCATGTCTTTATTACTACAAGTTTGTGACCATTAACTTGTACTTGCAAAGATTCAGACACAGCAATGACATGGAAAATTGGCTTTTACATCCCATGAGGGAGAGCAACCTGCAATTATTTGCCCTTATTTCTATATGGATCTCAAGAAAAGTAGGTGATCATACTTTGTTTATCATAAGCTTTCATCATTAGGGTGTAGTCTTGTATTTCTTACTAAATTAATGGGTTGTAGATGCATGATTCTCATCCCCTATCTGTAAAATGTTTGAAATCTTTGGGAGACAAGATGATTAAGGAGCAACATTTTACAACTCGTGATTTCTTAGAATCAATAAGCTAAATTTCTGTAACTCCTTTAAAAAAAACTTCATCTCTATATTTTCCATTGTTGTGGTTAATGAAGATATTCTGCAGGAGGTGGTCCTAATGCAGGTAAATCCCATAGAACTATGGTGGATGGTTGCATTTGTCAGCTTCAACTAAGATGTTTTTCTACTTTTTCTCTTCCTCTTGAAAGGTATTGGATTTTGAGATTGGTACATCTAATATTGCTTTTAAATTCCTCGAGGAGCTTTTCATTCAGTTCAAGTGAATTTTTTTTTGTTTTTTGTTTTTTGGGTGTCATCATTATAAAATATGTTGGCAATCGTAAGGTTAGAGTTTAGATCAGTTTACTGTTTATTCTAATGGGTCACGAATTCTGTCTTATATGAATTTAGGGGAATTGCAACGGTTGGGAAACTTGTAAACTTTGAAGCATGCACGGATATCATGGATCTTCTCTATGAAAAGGATCTGACATCAGCTCTTTATAATTCTCCCAAATATCTTGTTGCATTAATACTAGCATGTGCATTTACATTTCTTATTCTAATTTACTAATTCAGAAATGTTGCACCTGCTATGTCTTTTTACTTTGTAATAGTTTTGGACCTTTTACAGGTTGCTTCATATGTTATCACAGTTCCAAAACAGAGATGGGAGTTTCCTGTTCTTCCTTGGGGTAATATTTTTGTACTCAAAATTTCTCCGGTCGCCTCTTCTATTTGATCTACAGTTATCATTTTGTGTTTCTATGGTTATGCCAAAAAAATAAGATGTTATGCACAGTCAGAAACACTAATACCAATTATTATGTGCCGTTTTATTCTGATTAGAAAACTACTAACCACCAACTAAATCTGTATTACAGAAAAGTGATTTACTTGAGGTTTTTGAATAGCTTAGATTTTTCACAATTGTGTTTATACAGTTGTTTTAGACTAATAGTCATCAATAGATCACTCATTTGGTTTATCATTCTGTAGCCATCTTCACCTACCACCCTTGGAAAGGAAATTGCAATTCTTGCTGTCAGATTAAGCAGGGAAAGACGGAATATTTCTCAAGTTGAGATAATGGGGAAGTTTGCTGGTGCAGTTAGAAATTACAATGCACATCTTGTTGCATAACTTGATATTAAATGGCCTCAAATTGCAGAGGAGTTCGTGAAATCTCTTGGATTAAGTTTCAATCTCTATGTGACTCAAGTGTGTTCCATTCACAAGATTTCTTCTCACTTAAGCTTTATTAGGTTTCTCCGTAATTCTTCACAGACCAGAGTAATTTTTAGAAGTTTTGTCAGCAAGTTCTAAGTTAACAATCAGTAACCACATTTTGATGGATCCTTTTGATATGCTATCTGTTGGCTCGTAAAGACCTACCATGCACTACACACGGCTGCTCTATGTACAAAGCTAGAGAAGTCGGTAGTCTTTATTACCTATTAGTTACTTATTAGTGAACTTTCTTTCGAATTTTTATCCCGTCCTTGTTCCTTATTGTTTTTATCTAACAATTAATTCATCCATATTAAACTGTGATAGAGGACATCACTTATATGTGTTCCTTGAAAATTCAGAATTCGGGTCATTATCTTCTAGCTAATGCTTTCATAGTTTAACCATGTTCTGCAAGTTAGTTGCTGCTCCAGATTATCAAAGTGATAATTTGAACCACTGTTCTAAAAATCTTTTTAATAACAGAATGATTTTTGAATGAAACTTACAGAGGGCTTATGATGCAAGCATATTTATGCATATTTACCTGATCTAATTTAATACAATTTGAACATGTTATGCAGATCGAAACTTATGACTATATGGCAAAACTTTTCCATGCAATTATCCAGTTTAACATCTTAATTGATTTTGATAGGGACATGTGGGGCTACATATCTTTAGGTTTCTTCAAGCAGGTGAACTTTCTGATATATTTGTGAATATGTTACTACTGGTTTTCCTCTGCTAGAGCTTATGTTTTTTCAAGTTCAAATGTCAATCAGATAACTAAGGCTGGTGAGATTGGGTCCTCGACTATGCCTCATAAAGTAAATCCCATTGATTTTGAAAATAGTGAGGGCAATCTTGGGAAGGCTAATGGAGGTCTATCCCATTTAAGCATAAAATTACCTATTTCTCATTGGCAGGTAGAACTCTCTCTCTCTCTCTCTCTCTCTCTGACTTCTTTGCAAAGATATATGAAAGCTCCATTTTGAGTAAACATTGATTGGTAGTTTTTAGGCACCAAAAGTGCAGAATGTAAGATTATGTCACTGGGCAATTATGATTTCTTTGCAGAATGTAATAGTTTTGGTCATCTAATTTTAGTGGTGATAGAGTGAGACATGCTAGAAAGCATACTCAGCCAAATAAAGTTTTTTTTTTTAATATTATATATTTTATAAAATTTAAAAGCATACTCAGCCAAAGGGATTTGTTTGGGTACAAATGAAACTGCTGCCTATAGGTAAATGTTATAGTTACTTTTCTCTGTGGACTACGTAAATGTTATAGTTACTTTTCATGGGTTGGAATTAGGTGCATGCATGTTATTTTGTAGATAATAAAAGTAAATGGTGATTTTTGTGGGGCTTAATAAAAGTAAATGGTCGTTGGCTAATAAAAGAATGCTGATTAAAGTTTGAAGGATATTTTGTGGGGCTTTTTTCACTCCTGTCCAAGCCATAGAAGAGACTACCATGTTTTTTCACTCCTGTTCATGAACTTCTTTAATTAGCTCATTGCTGAGGTCTTGAAAGTATATAACTCAATGATTTTTTCCTTACGCTGATTACAGGACAACTTGCCCGAGAAGTTTACGAGAACATTAGGAGAGGCTTCTTGTTTGAGAATTCAGAGAGATTTTTGTATGCATCTTGCTAGGAAAGCTTATAAAGAATTGTGCTCCTCTGCTGTTTCTATTCAGGCTAGCATGCGTGGAATGGTTGCACGTGATGAGCATCGCTTCAGAAGGCAGATTGCTTTTTATGGAAAGCTTCCATTGCTGTATTCTCTTAGACTACTTGACTACATGAATTGTGCATTTGGATGTATTAGTAGGAACTCCAACAATTTCTTTTTACACTAGCTTTTGTTCAACTGAGTTCTTTAAAATTACCATACTATAAGCATTTATAATAATGTTTTTCTTTTGCAGAGCAGTTTGAAAACTGTCTCAGAATCTCTGAATACTTCTTGATGGGTTTAAAATTAGCACAATTTCAAAAACAAAAAAAATGAAAAAGGATATCACGACGTTTTTCAAAATGCCACTTAAACCCTAAATCTAACGGTCATATGTTTTTAAAAAGATACGATGGCGTTTTAAAAACGTCGCTAAATATCACAGTGACGTCATGGTATTGTTATTTAGGACATTTTGGCGGCGTTTAATATTACGATGTTTTTAAAACGCCACAAAGCTATGGCGACGGCCGCGTCCTCGACGTTTGGTGCTAAGCGTCGCAAAAGGAATTTGCGGCGTTTTTGACACTTATAGCGGCGTTTTTTAAACGCCATTAAAATTCTGTTTTCCAGCAGTGATTTTTGTGGTCAATCCACTTTTTCAGAGGTACAAGGCTGCTGGACAGGATACTATTGTATTGGCTGGAGCAGAGTATGGAAGTGGAAGCTCTCGTGATTGGGCTGCTAAAGGCCCAATGTTGTTGGTGAGTATTGTTATGTGGGCACTTGAACTAGTTTGCACTTCTCCATCCATTTTGGCTTGTATTGTGTCGTCTTCTGCTCCTTTTAGTAACTATTGGAATGTAACAGGGAGTTAAAGCAATGATTGCAAAGAGTTTTGAGAGGATACATCGCAGTAATTTGGTTGGATGGGTATTGTTCCGCTTTGTTTCAAGCCTGGTGAAGATGCAGACTCACTTGACTTGACAGGTCATGAGGGTTATACCATTGACCTTCCCAGTAAAATTAACGAGATAAGGCCTGATCAAGATGTTACTGTTAGGACTGACACTGGAAAATCTTTCACCTGCACAGTTCGCTTTGACACCGAGGTACTTCTTACTTTCTTTCTTAAGGTTGTGTTTTTGTTGTTGTGGAAAATAGTGGCATGTAATTCTTATTAGAAAGAAAATAAAGGGACCATGTGGCTTATGATTTGTTAAACCCATAGTTTCTTGTGCTTGGTAAGAAAGAGTATTCTTACTTGCTTACAACCAATTTATAGTTTTCTGAGATGAACCATTATACATATGCTTACTGTAAATTTGTGGGAATTAATTATCAATGTAATCAGGGAAAAACAAAATCCATCTACCGTTGTTGTTTGAAAACCATCACAATTCAGGCAAATATTGTTTTAAAATCTACAAAATTCACGCAAAGTTCTAGAAATCACCTTATGTTCTCTTTCTGTTTGCTTCCTATATATTTCTTCAAAAACAAAGGAAAAAACACTTTTAATGAAGTGGCCCCATCTAATAAGTTGCGGCAATAATAGCACCCATTGATTTTTTGATAATTAAGCCCCAAGTCCCAAACCTGCTCAGTAACTTTCCTATTGCATTACTTGGTTTTAGTTGTTTCTTCTCTAAATTTTAGTCCAACCTATCTCAAGAGAAATTTGACTTCTTGTCGAAATTTATATCAAAATCTAACCCTCCAACAACTATAGAAGACTAAAATTTTATTTACTAGATGAAAAAGAATAACATAATGAGAGATATACTGCCTATTGGAATTCCTTTTTGTTATGAATAGTTGACTTAAAATTTGGGTATCTACACTTTCTTGCATCTTCTTTTTCTTGACAAATAGAACATTTTGGTATAATTAGTGTTCAAAAGATAAATTATTTCTTAGATCGATATATAGAAAATACCACAAAAGGGTTTGAAATTTAAACTGCAAAATTTTAAAATAAGAGACATTAAAAAAACTGTTTTCACAACTTGTATAAGGACTTCTATGTGAATTGCATTTTAGTGAAGAGATGTCGAACATATAACTTTTCAACTAAGTGCGCACGCCTAAATTGGCCCATGAAGATAAAATTTGTGGAGCCAATGCTATGTACATATGATATGTTTTCCTGATTATTTATCTAGCAAAAGGAGAAGATTTATGCATGTGCATGTTCATGTGTTATCTACCCCTTTTTTATTTGGAAGATGTTTGCGAGCTTAAGCTCTGAGCTGATGCTAACTATTCCTTTAATTGTAATTATAGGTGGAATTGGCATATTTTGACCATGGAGGCATCCTTCCTCATATTATTCGGCAACTGATTACACAATAATTGATGTTAGTCTTCAGCAGCTTGATCCTCCATTGAGCTCTTCCAGTTCTAATACGTGAGAAGAGAATAAAGTTTGTAAGAATATAAGCTAATCCCTTGCACGGATCGGGGATTTTCAATTTACTTCCACCTGGCAGGCAAGTTCATGTGCCAATGAAAGGTAGAACAAATTTTTGTAATGAAGTCCTCTTTTATTTTTTCCCTTTAGATTATTGCCCGTTTTAGTGCTTGAATGTTGTCCTTTGGGGTCCTAAAAGTGGCAAGATTAAATTTGGCTGTTGTTTGCTAAATTAAGTGAGTTGTAGCAACATTCTGCTATTGCAATGCTACAAATTTTTTTTTTGAGGAACAATATGGCTTGGACATTTTAAGTCAGCAAACATGGCTTGAGATTGTTCAAACAAAAGATTCTCCTTTCTTTATTGTTCTTGTTAGAATTGTTTGCAATAGGAGTTCAGAGACATTTGTATGTATAACTAAAAATTGTTGTGGAAACACCTTGTCACGACCCCAAACCGCCCCTAGTAGGATGGTGCCGTGATGGCCAGTAATCCGAGATTACCGAAGGTCAATTTTCAAAATCCACACACAGACAGAGTAAAAATATACGGGCTCACAAGTACGGAAGCAATACATACAAATCAGATTAGTCCATAAGAGCTGTGCGTAAGTCAAATGAAATGGCAAACATCTTCACATGGGTTACAACTTAGTACAAATGAAGTAAAGTACAAAATACATCTTGATCAAAAGGCTTCTCAAGCCGACGTATGCAAAAATTACAAGTATTACAAGTCGAGAAGCATAATTTTCAAGACTGCCGACATGAATACAAGTCAAGCCGACATAACAAAAATCCATAACAAGCTCGCGAATCACATCTAGGCGTCACCGCCTTCTTGCTCATCACCTACATATATATATAGAGAGGGTGAGCTTGGATACTCAGTAAATGATATAAATAATAAAGGGGGTTTGCATGAATAATAGCCGAAGTCTTTTCAAAACGATACATATCAAAACTTATATAACAAAGGATGGACCTCGTCCATCTAACAAATCTTAAAAGCTTCAAGGGATGCTTACTAGCATCAACATATTATAAATGATGACATTCTGGACAAACAAACCCACGCGGTAAACCGTCAGTGGCAAAACAAGACAAAGCAAGGGAGATATCTCAAACAATGGTGCAGTTGCATTATAGTCCCCTGGCACTAAGGACTCTCAAAACAAGATGTACAGTTGCATTATAGTCCCCTAGCACTAACTGCATTATAGTCCCCTAGCACTAAGGACTTCCAAAACAAGATGTGCGGTTGCATTATAGTCCCCTCGCACTAAGGACTTTTCCCAGAATGTCATCAAAATCAGATAATACTTGATATACAAAATAGGGACAATCATTCATTCTTAACAAATATTTTTCGAAACAAAGCAAAGCAAAGCTCATCAAAACATTGACAACATAGCTTTATTAAAAATACCACTCACATAGTTCTTTAAACGTCGGGGTCAAGACAAAAGCCTGAGTCCTACAAACACATGGCAAAGTCTATTGAATGTACTTTCAAATAAGATTTTCATGCAAACGGATGATCTCGGCGTTCGTCAAAAACTAAGTTAAATCAAAACAAAACACTGTTTTTTTCATCTCGGGGAAAAATATGCTGGGCATCAACCAAGTCTTGGCCGAGGTCCCACACCTTCTTGCCGAGGTGTGGTTCCGACGGCCACATTCAAAAGCGAAGTCGGGAAAACCTGGGTTTCCCTTTGAGGAACATGAAGAACATGAAGATGGAGAAGATGAAGAACATGCATGCTAAAATCATAACTTGTTATTACAAAGTCTGAGATTTCGTGCTATGAGTTCGAAAACATGGACCTGGGCACCCATATTCAAAGATCTTGTGAGAACAAACACAAAAACATGGTTCTTGATACAAACTCTCGAATCAAAGCAAGACTTTTCTTCAAAAATACATGAACACCATTTTCTCTTTCTAAAACCAACTTTAAATCGATGCATGGCATGCAGGACAGATTCGATCGTGCAATGCAGCTAGATGATCAATAAGAACAATAAGAGTAGATTAAGATTCTAACCTCAAAACTCGAATATAACGGTTCAAACTCCAACGATCAAGCTTGGAAGTTCACTCTCTTACTTGAAGGCTTCACCTTCTTCTTCCTAGAGTCTCTCTCTCTAAAAGGCAAGATTTGATACAAAAATGATATGTTTCTCTCGACAGTCACTGACTTAACCCTCTGCTGGGACACGTGGCATCGGCTGATTGGCTCTACTCAAAAAGGTGACTGTAGACACCCCATTTTTGACCGACCTTAAGACTCAGGCGTCACCAACTGAGCACTCAGTGATGTTGTATATTGTGCTCGTTCTGAGGTTTCAGAGTCTCGGCTGCGAGCCTTCCCTCCGAACTTCGGGACTCTTTTATGCTTTGCTTCGGTTTGCGAACCAGGTCCTGTTTTCTCTATTTTCTCTTCCCGAAGGGAGGAAGAAGTCTCATAGACCATCTCTCAGTGGCCGTAGGCTACGTTCCGTGGTCGTAGGCCACTTTTCCCATTTGGAGGCCAGTTTTCGGTTTTCGGAGCCGTCGACCGTGTGCCTCGGTTCGGGACCGCTTAACTACCTCTGTTTGCTCCGATTTTTGGTACACACCTTGTTTCCTTTTCTTAGAGGGACACTATGGCTCGGGAGACCACCTTCATGGTCGTACGCCACCTCCGGTGCCTAATAGCCTGTTTTTGGGGCCCCAGGCTGCGCATTTTGGCCCCCGAACCCTCGTTTTGCATCAGTTAGGGTTATTTTTTGGTATGGACCCTATTTTCATTGTTTTGAAGGTGGTACTATAGTGGGAGACCAACAATTCTTTTGG